AAGAGTTGGGAGCCGCAGCAGCATGGGCTCAGCCCAGGGACAAGACTGAGGCTCCAGGGAATGACCCTGGAGGGGAGGTCAGAGGGCACTCTCCCCCAAACTGAGTGGGGACCAGGGCCTGGAACTGCAGTGGAGTGTGTGGGAGACAGCTGAGGCCCCGTGTGACCTCCCCCAGGCCGGAGAGGGCGGGGCAGGGAGGTGTCCAAGGCAGGGGACTGGTCAGGCTGACCCTGGGCGGGAGGGGCCGCAGGAGGCCCTCCGTACCTGCTGGGCTCACAGGTCCTTGCTAAACTCTCGCACCAGCAGGTAGCCCATGCAGCCCCAGCCCCCGTCCGCCTGGTACCCGCAGCCCTCCAGCATGCCCGACACACCCCAGGCGGCCACGGCCACGGGCACCACGAGACGCGCCCGAGGCTCGCCCATGCCCCCTGCCCAGGCGCGTGCTCGGGCCTCCGCGAAGGCCAGCAGCCTCCGGCCCACGCCGCGGCGTCGGTGCCAGCGGGAGACGGACAGGCGGGTGACCCGCGCCCCGTCGCCCGCGTTGGTGCCGGGCTCCAGGGCTAGGACGCCGCACACGTCGCCAGAGCCACGCACCGCCACCCAGGGGCCCCCCAGGCCACCGGGAGGGGGCAGCGAGCCCCACCGGGACCTGAGGCCCAACTTGACGGCAGCCACGGCCAGGAACACGGGCAGGAGGAGGGCCAGGGCGAAGGAGGCTAGCACGAAGCGCAGGCCGCTGCTGGCTGCCGCCAGGAGGAGCAGGGCGGGGGGCCGGGTCAGGGCGTGCAGGGCCACGCGGTTCTCCGTGTCCTTCACGCCGGCCTACGGCCAGGAAGGGACAGTCAAGGGCAGGGCCTCCTCCATCCATCTCACCAGGGGCTGTGGTGCCCAGTAGGAGTGGGGGAGGGCCGGGGTCAAGAGGCAGCCACACCTAGAGTGAGGAGCTGGACAATGAAGGGGGGAGGGAGCGCTATGGGAGAGGGACAAGCAGGGGCCTAATCACCAGTGACCAGAGACTGCCCTGCTGGGTGTTTAGGGAGTGAGTGAGTGGAGCAATGAATCCATAAAACCTTGAGTGAAGGTGGGAGAATGAATAAACGTGTGAATGGCTGTGTGGGGAACGAATGAATGAGTAGACAACGGATAGAGGGAGGGATGTGTGGGGAGTGAATGAATAGATGAGTAGGTACATGAGTAGGTGAGCAATGAATGAGTGAAAATGAATGCATGGATGGATGTGGGGATGAATGAATACACAAATGGATGGATGGATGAGGAATGAATGAATGAGTCATAAA